GGGATGGGTGTGGGTAGGATGCTCCAAGGGTCAGTGTGGACTTGTTGGGCCAAAGGGCCTGTTTCCACACTATAAAGATTCTATGATTTAAACAGAGATAAGCATCGGAATTCCTAGAGGCCTGGTTCTCCACCAAGAAGGCCATCAATAAATACGTAGAATTAAACTCTATATATACACCACTGCGAAGAAAAACCAGAAATTAGGTAATCAACTCCAATGGACCCCAGAATTTAAATAGCAGGTGGAAAAATACAACAGCACTTCATTGGAGGCTGCACTGATGATGTTACCCAGCAGGTTAATGAAATGTCTGCGAACTAATGAACCAGCTCGGCGAGCAAACCAACCACAGCATCCACAACCCGAGCTACAAATCTACTCAAGAATATTAGGTAGTGGTAGAAGGCTGTTTGAGTGACTGGAGGCTGGTGTACCAGAAGGATCAGCACTGGGACCCTTCTTGTTTCATATACAATAAGTGATATAGATGAAAATGTTGGGGTAATGTTAAGCAAATTTGCAGACGATACCAACATTGGTAGAGTGGTTAATAGTGAAGAAGATGTTACAGGAAGATATAGATGGATTGGTCAGATGGGCAGACCAGTGGCAGATGGTATTTAACCCTGGTAAGTACAAGGTGATGCACTTTGGAACCAGAAACAAGATGAGGGAGTATTTAATGAATGGCAGGGCACTGGATAGCTTAGAGGAACAGAGGGATCTTGGAGTAATTATTCACAGATCCCTGAAGTTGGCAGAGCACATGAATAGGATAGTTAAGGTGGCATATGGGACACTTGATTTCATCAGTCGTAGAATAGAGTATAAGAGCTAGAAGGTAATGTTGGAGTTATACTGAACGTTGTTCATGCTGTAACTGGAATACTGTGTGCAGTCTGGTCACCTCACTACAGGAAGTATGTGACAGCATTAGATAGGATAGAGGAGGTTCACCAGGATGTTGCTTAGGATGGAGAAATTGAGCTACAAGGAGACTAGATAGGCTTGGATTGTTTTCTTTGGAGCAGAGAAGACTGAGGGGGGAACAGTCTTGAGGTCTATAAGATCATGAGAGGTATGGACAGGGTGAATAGAGAGCAGCTGTTCTCTTTAGTTGAGGGGTCAATCATGAGATGGCATAGTTTTAGGTGTAAGGGGCAGGAGATTCAGAGGTGCTTTGGGAAAACACATTTTCACTCAGCAGGTGGTGGGAATCTGGAATGCACTCCCTGGGAAGGTAGTGGAGGCTGCAAACTTTACAACCTTTAAAAGATATTTGGATGAGTACTTCAAATATCATAATATTCAAGGATATGGGACAAGTGGAGAAAATTGGGATTAGCACACTTTTAGTGGCAGTAAAGTCGGTGCAGACTCAATGAGCTGAAAGGCCTTTTCTGCGCGCGTACAAATCTATGAACCTTGTCCCTCCTCACATGCATCCACCATTACATCAGTTTCCTTTTCATGGACACCAGCCACCTCCTCTTCAGCAAGGATATGCAATACCTTTACATGTCAATCCCCCACAGGATGGTTTCTGAGCTTTCTGCTTCTTCCTGGAAAAAAGGCATGAACTGTCCCCATCTGCCACCACCCTCCTCTGCCTGGCTGAGCTTGTCATCTCTTTGAAGAATCTCTTGTTTAATTCCTCCCACTTTCTTCAGATCAAAGATGTGGCCAAGGGAAACTGCTTGGGCACCAATGATGCCTATCTCTTTGTGGGGTACATGGAATGTTCCTCTTTCTCTGGCACATCAATGACATCATTGGTGCTACCTCCCCCTCTTGTTCAGAATTGGGAACATTTGGCAATTTCACTTTCAATTTCCACCCCACTCTCACCTTCGCCTGATCCACTTCTGACTCCTCACTACTATTCCTTTACACCTCTTTTTCCATTTCTGGGGATAGGCTGGCCACCGATACCCACTACAAACCAACTGACTTCCACAGTTACTGCAACTATACATCCTAACACCCTGCTTCTTATAAAGATTTATTCTGTTCTCCCAGTTTTCCTGCTTCCGTTACATCTGATCTGATGATGCCATCTTCTGCAGGGGAGCGGGGGGATCCTCAGAAATGTTCACCTTCTTCCTCAACTGAGGATTCCCACTCCTGCGGTTGACAAGGCCCTCAGCTGTTTCCTATTAATTTTGCACTTCATCCCTCACCCCGTCCCTTCACTAGGGTGCCCTGGTCCTCATTTTCCATCCCCCCAGCCTCTGCATCCAAAGCCATCATTTCCGCCACCTCCAGCTGGATGCCACAGAGACCACATGTGGTCTCCCCAGTGCCCTATATAAGTGGAGCATAACCTCCATTTGTATTCAATTCCCCTTACAATAAACCATCACGTTCCATTTGCTTTCCTGATTACTTGCTGTACCAGCCCCAGATCTTATTCTTACATATTTTATAATCATTCTGCTCTTTTAATCCTCAATTCTATATCTGTTAAAATTACTAACAATGTTTACTTAAATCTACTTGCAGATCTGAAGATACTACAATCGTCCAGGCCTGATTCACCTTTTCTGCAGCCGTAACATTGTATTCCGCACTAAGTTCTAATATCCCTATGTACTTTGTATGGTATGATCTGCCTGTACTGCACACAAAACAAACTTTTAACTGTACCTAGCTACATGTGACAATAATAAATCAAATCAAACCATGCAGTAGGATGCCCAGATCTCTCTACATCTCTGAGCTCACCATTTAGATAACATGCTTCTATTTTATTCTTCCTGCCTAAATGGACAATTTCATGTTTTCCGACATTGTACTCCATTTGACAAATCTTTGCCCACTCACTGAACCAATCTATATCCCTTTGCAGGTTCCTTATGTCCTTTTCAAACTTACTTTTCTACCTATCTTTGTGTCACGCTAATTTATCGACCATGCCTTTGATCCCTTCATCCAAAATCGTTTGTTTAAATTGTAAAGAGGTCAGGCGCCAGCACTGATCCTTGTGGCACATCATTTGTGACATCCTGCCAGCCTGAAAAGACCCATTCATTCCTACTCTCTGCTTCCTGTTAGCAATTCCATCATCAATCCATGCCATTATGCTACTCCCGAGCTTTCAATTTCCACAATAACGTTTGGTGTAGCACCATAAAATATGCCTTCTAGAAATCTAAATACAATATATCTGCTGGTTTCCCTTTATCCACAGCTCAAGTCTCTTCTTCAAAGAACTCCAAAAAGTTAGTTCAATATGATCTCCCTTTGACAAAACCATGTTGGCTTTGTCTAATTATCTTGAACTTATCTCTGTTATACATCTTTAATAGTAACTTGTAAAATTTTCACTATGGCAGATGTTGAGCTGATTGTCCTCTAGTTTCCTGCTTTCTGCCTCCCTCCCTTTGTGGAAAAGGAGGATTAAATTTATTATTTTACAATCTAAAGGAACATTTCTTGAATCTAATTAGCTTTTGAACACTAAATCCATGGAATCAACAATCTCACTAGTTACTTGTTTTAAGACTGTAGGATAAAGTCCATCAGGGCTTGGGGGTGTGTCTACTCATAGTTCAACAACTTACTCAGAGCTACTTCCCTGGAGATTGGAATTTTCTTGAGTTCCTCCCTCCTTTTCAATTCCTGATTTACAGCTATTTCCAGGATGCTACGTGTAGCATTTCTAATGAAGACCAACACAAAATTCATTGAACACCTGCCTCTGCATATACGCTTCACCCCTATGTTAGTATGACAATAGTTGTATGATCTTAACCTGTATATGACACATACATAGACACAAGCAGGAAGGCATGGGTGCACATGCACAAACGTAGAACAACACTTCTCCATAGGAAGCCATGTACATGCATAGAGCTGGATCAAATGGATTATGACTGGTATGGCTAGCAGTGGTGTATTTTCTGTGGAATTTATTGAGAAAATAATTAGTATTTAAAGTGGAAATCAAGTTATCTGATTGTGCAACCCTCCCAACTCAGAGCCTTTGTGAGAAACCTTCCATTAAAAGTAAGATTTACAATTCACTATTACAATTCTTCAATGAGTAGAAAGCAGGACAAATTCCAATGCAGACTGATTAGAAAGCTCTTCTAACTTCAGCCTGCATGTGACTCAAATGATTTTCTGGTAAACAAGGCTTGACTGGAAGGAGAGAAGGCACTATTTACTGCATGACTGCCACCTACCCCTGTCTCTGGTCCCCACACCTAACCACAGTCGAAGACCCTTTGATTGATTGATTGATTGATATTTGCTGAATGTTTTGAAGTCTAGCAGCCTGTGGGTGTCTCATCTCCCTCATTCCCCGCATATTAATCTATAATTTACTGCGTCCACGATGCCTGCTTTCTCCATTAATCTGATTGTTAACAGCCTCACAGTTATTTTTAAATTTCACGGCATACTCTAACACCGATTAGAGCACAGATTTGTACATCACAATCCCAGGAGCTACGGTTCTCTCGTTCAGAAGATTCTCTAACATCTTATATAACAATGTTCAGCACCTTGGACAGCGCCGTCCCTGGATCCATAATCCTGCCTTTCAGCAAATGCCTACACCCAGAACAGCAGCCTGCCAAATACAACTGACAAACACAGACAAATTCACCCCACCGAACCCAGTTCCCCGTGAATACACACCCCACTTAACTTGGAGCTCCAGCTGACAACACTCCAACAGCAGACCCCAAAGTTCATTGTCTCCAAACAACCTGATGTCAAGCTCACATTTACAGGATCAGAACCCTAACCCAACCTCTGAACCACAGAACCCTAAGTGTTCCTAACCTAACTGTTTGTACCAAACAGCATTTCAACCCCAGACACTTGCCCACCACCCCAAAAAGACATTCCTCTCTCTTGGAGCTCCAAGTCTCTCAATTTCTGAGCTGTCTGTCAATCCTATCCCGTCTCTCTGGGAGACTCTCACCCAGTCTCACACCCCCCCAACTCCACCCTCAGGGAGACCCCCGGCCAGCCCCGGTGGCTCTCACCTTTGAAGATGAGCTCCTCGGTGTCCTGGTCGAAGCCCTGGCGATGACACTTTCTCCAGAGGCCCAGGATGGTGGAGTTGAACTGGCGGCTGCAGTGAGAGTCGAGCGGGGCTGAAGCGAGGAAGTAGCTGCGGGCCCTGGCCAGCAGCTGCCGGGGAGCCTGGCGGAGGGGTAGGTTCTGGCTTGGGATATAGATGAAGCCGGGATCATTCCTCTTGTTCGCGTAGTTCTTGCAGCGGTCCCGGTGCCGCCGGGCATCGGTCTCGTACCAGTAATCGGTGCAGATAGCCATGGCAAGCAGGCCGAGAGCACAGAGAGCCAGCAACAGGCCGGTACCGGTCAGCACCTTCATCGCCGCCATTTCACACGGAGACAGAGAGAGGGAATGTGGGAGAGGAGAGAGAGAGCGCTACAGGGAGAATGTGTCTGCAAGAGACAGAGAGAATGTGGGAGAGGGAAAGAGAGAGAGAGCGCGCGCGCGCTAGGGGGAGAGAGAATGTGTGCGTGTGAGAGAGAGGGAATGTGGGAGGGAAGGTGGAAGAAGGAGAAGGCTAGGGAGAGAGGGAGAGCAGAGAGGGGGAGTGAGAGAAGAGAGAGAACGCGCTAGGGAGACAATGTGGGAGAGGGAGGGACGGAGAGAAAGGGGGAATGTGGGAGAGACGGAGGGGGGAGGGATGTAGGAGAGAGAAAGGGAGAGAGGAGGGAATGTAGGAGAGAGACAGAGAGGGTGGAATGTGGGAGGGAGAGAGAGAGGGAGGGAAGGAGAGGTAAGAATAGCAGAGAGTGAGAACACGCTTGGGAGAGAGAGAGAGGGAGAAGAGAGAGAGACAGAGAGAGAGAATTTGGGAGAGGAAGTGAGGAAGGAGGAGGGGCGAAATGAGGGAGAAAGGGGGAAATGTGGGAGAGACCGAGAAAGGAGGGAATGTGGGAGAGAGGGGTGAAAGTGGGAGTGGGGGAAAGAGGGAATGTGGGAGGGAGGATGGGGGAGAGGGAGAGGAGAGGGAGAGAATGTGGGAGAGAGGGAGGAGGCAGAGTGGGAAAGAGGGTAGGAGGGAGAGGGGAAGGTGAGAGATGGAGGGGGAGAGTGGGAAAGAGGAAGGGTGGTGGGGGGAGAGATGAGGGATGTGAGAGAAGGAGAGTGAGAGGGGAATGTGGGAGAGAGGGAGAGTGAGAGGGGAATGTGGGAGAGAGGGGGGAATGTGGGAGAGACGGGGGTGATGTAGGAGAGAGAGAGGGGAATGTAGGAGAGAGACAGAGAGGGTGGAATGTGGGACGGAGAGAGAGGGAGGGAGGGAGGAGGTAAAAATAGAAGAGAGTGAGAACACGCTTGGGAGAGAGAGGGAGGGAGAAGAGAAAGAGAGACAGAGAGAGAGAATTTGGGAGAAGAAGTGAGGAAGGGGGACAGAGGGAGGGGGAAATGTGGGAGAGAAGGAGAAAGGAGGGAATGTGGGAGAGAGGGGTGGGAATGTGGGAGAGGAGAGAGGGATGAAAGTGGGAGTGGGGGAAGTGGGAGAGAGAGGGAATGTGGGAGGGAGGATGGGGGAGAAGGTTAGTGGAGAGGGAGGGAGAGGAGAGGGGGTAATGTAGGAGAGAGGGAGGAGGGAGAGTGGGAAAGAGGGTGGGAGGGAGAAGGAAAGGTGAGAGAGGGAGGGGGAATGTGGGAGGGAGGGAGAGAGAAGTGAGGGTGAGGGGGGGGGGAGAGTGGGAAAGAGGAAGGGTAGGGGGGGGAGAGATGAGGGATGAGAGGGAGAGTGAGAGGGGAATGTGGGAGAGAGGGAGAGTGACAGGAGGGATGTGGGAGAGAGGGGGATTGTGGAGAGAGGGGGAATGTGGGAGACTGGGGGGAATGTGGGAGGGAGGGAGAGGGAGATGAAGCGTGGGGGAGAAGGAGAGGGAGGGTGGGGGAGAGAGAGAGGGGGAACCTGGGAGGGAGGGAGAGAAGAGATAGATGAGAGAGAAATGTGGGAGAGAGGGGGGAAAGTGGGAGAGAGGGAGAGATAGAGGTCACAGTGGGAGGGAGGTTAGGACAGGGAGAGGGAAGGTGGGCGAGAGGGAGAGTAGGGGAGAGACAGAGGGGGGAATGTGTAGGAGAGAGAAGGAGATAGGGAGGGGGAGAGGGGAGAAGGGGTGAGTGGGAGAGAGGGAGGGTAGGAGAGGAGAGGACGAGAGGCGGAGGTGGGAGAAGGAGTGAGGAACTGGGAGAAAGGGAGGAAATGTGGGTGAGGGGAGGAGGGAATGTGGGAGAGAGGGAGGGAGTGGAAGTGGGAGGGAGAGAGAGAGAGAAAGAGAGGGGGGGATTGTGGGAGAGAGGAGGAATATGGGAGAGAGCTAGGGAGAGAGGTAATGTGGGAAAGAGGGAATGTGGGAGAGAGGGGGGAATGTGGGGGCGGCAATGTGGGAGAGAGGGAGGGGGAAATGAGGGAGAGGGAACAGTGGGAGAGAGGGGGAGAGAGAGAGACAGAAATGTGGAAGAATGGGAGGGAGAGTGAAAGGGGGAAAGTGGTAGAGAGGTTGAGAGAGGGACAGTGGAGGAGAGGCAGAGGGGGGAATGTGAGGGAGGGAGGGTGGGGGGAGAGTGGGAGAGAGGGAGGGTGGGAGAGAGACAGAGAGAGAGAATTTGGGAGAGGATGTGAAGAAGGGGGAGAGGGAGCAGGGAAATGTGGGAGAGAAGGAGAGGGGTGAATGTGGGAGAGATGGAGAGGGGAGAAGGGGAAGAGATGGACAGAGAGGAGGAGAATGTGGGAGGGAGGGAATGTGGGAATGAGGGAATATGGGAGAAAGAGAGGGGTGTATGTGGGGGTGGCAATGTGAGGGGGGAATTAGGGAGGGAGAGAGAAATGTGGGTGAGAGGGAGAGAGAGGGGCTAAGAGAGAGAGGGTAAAGTGGGAGGGAGGTTGGGAGGGTGTGGGAGAGGGAGAGTGGGGGAAACAGAGGGACGGAGAGGGAGAGAGAGAGGGAGGGTATGGGAAGGAGAGAGAGGGAGGGAGGGTGATAGACTGGGAGAGAGGGTGGGAGAGGGGGAAAGAGGGACAGAGAGAGGGGGGATGTGGGAAAGGAGAGTGAGGGATGTGGGGGAGAGGGAGAGTGAGGGATGTGGGAGACAGAGTGAGGCATGTGTGAGAGAGAGTGGGAATGTCAGATGAAGAGAGAGGGGGAAATGTGGGGGAGAGAGAGGGAGGGAAGGGGAGAGGGAAAGTGGGGGAGAGTGTGGAGGAATGTAGGAGAGAGCTAGGGAGAGAGGTAATGGGAGAGAGAGAGAAGGAGGGAGTGGGGAGCAGGGAGCAGGAGAAGGGAGAGGAGAGAGAGGAGGGGAATAGGGAAAGGACAGAGAGAGAGAGAACATGCTAGGGAGAGGGAGAGAATGTGGAAGAGACAGGGATGAAGAGGAGAGAGAGAGGGGGAGAAGAGAGACGGGGGGGGGAGACAGAGAGAGAATATGGGTGACAGAGGAAGAGGGGAATGTGAGAGAGAGGGAGGAAGAGAGGTAATGTGGGAGAGAGGGAGGGAGGGAGGGAGAGGGGTGCGGGGAAGGGACAGGAGAGAGAGGGAGAGAGAGAATATGGGTGACAGAGGGACAGGGGCAATGTGGGAAAGAGGGAGGAAGAGGAGAAAGAGAATGTGGGAGAGAGAGGGAGGGAGAGAAAGAAGGGGAATGTGGGAGAGAGGGAGAGGGAATGTGGAAGAGGAAAGAATGGGGGAAGAGGGAATGTGGAGAGAGAGGGATGGGGGAGAGAGAGGGAATGTGGAAGAGAGGGAATGTAGGAAAGAACGAATGTGGCAGAGAGAGGGGGAAATGTGGAAGACAGGGAGCGAAAAGGAGAGGATGGGTGAGAAGGAGTGAGGGAAGGAGAGGGGAGGGTGGGGGGGCAAGAGGGAATGTAGGAGAGAGAGGGAACATGGGTGAGGGATTGATTGATTGATTGATTGATTGATTGATTGATTGATTTTATTGTCACCTGTACCGAAAATCAGTGAAAAACTTTGTTTAAGTGGTACAGGCAGATCACAGCAAGCAAAGGATGCGCAGTCAAAATACACTCAGAGGCATACAGGTTACATTATTTGAGGCTAGAGTCCATTCAACAGTCTGATAATGGCTAGAAAGAAGCTGCTCCTGAACCTGCATGTGCGTGTGTTCAGGCTTCTGTATCTTCTGCCTGATGGAAGAGGTTGTAGGAGATCATTATCAGGGTGTGATGTGTCTTTGATGATGTTGGTAGCCTTTCCGCGGTAGCGAGCCATGTAAATGGAGCCCATGGATGGAAGGTTGGCTTTTGTGATGATCTGGGCTGTGCACGCCACCTTCTGTAGTTTCTTATGATCCTGGGCAGAGCAGTTGCCTGATCCAGGCTGTCAGGCACCCAGACAGTATGCTTTCAATGGCGTATCTGTAGAAAAGTCATAGAGTATACAGCTTGGAAACAGGCCTTTTGGCCCAACTCATCCATGCCAACCAGGTTTCCTAAACTGAACTAGTTTCATTTACCTGCATTTGGACCATATCCCTCAAGAAAAACAGCCCCAGCTCCTCCAATTCATCTAATTTACTGAAGTTTCTGGTTGGTGTGCTTCATTAATCTTTTATATACATTTTAGGAAGGATATGAAGGTGTTATAAACTGTGGTGTCCAGAGCTGGATGTAGTTCTCCAGTTGAGGGTGTATATAGAGGTATACAATGAGAAACTTCAGTAAACAAAACATCAAGAACGAAAAAGAAATGTAAAGACAACATGGAAATAATTATATTTCATGATTCCAGATTGTCAAATAGCCATTGAAGTGCTGGTGAAGTTTAATTCACTGGTTTAAGTGAAGTGGGGACACAGTTTGTGCTGGTGGTTTGCAGAGACCTGTTGAGAGCTACCGGATGGCCAACTGTACAGTACAGGACATGAGACCCAGAGTCTCGATACACAATGCAGATGGTAATCCATTCATTACCAACCCATGCCTGTGGCTTTTTTAAATTTATTTGTGGGATGTGGGCATTCTTGGCTGGCCAGCATTTATTGTCCGTCTCTAGTTGCCCTTGAGAAGGTGGTGGTGAGCTGCCTTCTTGAACCACTGCAGTCCACCTGCTGTGGGTCGACCCACAATCCTATTAGGGAGGAAATTCCAGGATTTTGACCCAGTGACAGTGAAGGAATGGCTATATATTTCCCAGTCAGGATGGTGATTGGCTCAGAGGGAAACCTGAGAGTGCTGGTGTTCCTATATATCTGCCACCCTTGTCCTTCTAGATGGAAGTGGTCATGAGTTTGGAAGATGCTGTCTGAGGATTTTTGGTGAATTAAGTTGGTGAGGGACTTTATGGACATGCCAAATTTCCTGAGCCGCCTGAGGAAGAAGAGGCGTTGTT